AATGATGAAGTCGTCGCCGATGACACGGCTAAGCGCAAGGCCATAATCGAAATGAAGAAGTTGGCCTTGTACTCCAAGCAGCGAGCGTTGAGGGACAAGGTCGGGAAACAAATGCTACACTACGACAACCTCGCGATGACGACAAATAGGACAATGTACCGCCGCATGAAGAAGCAGAGTGTTAGGGAGGCCCGGGTTACCGAGAAGCTTGAGAAGCAGCAACGTGACGCGCGCGAGAATAGGGAACGCAAGAAGCACGTCGAGTTTCTGCAAGCGGTTCAAAACCACAAGGTGGAGATACAAAATGTCGCCTCGATCCAGCGTAACAAGCTGCAGAAGATGGGCCGTCTCATGTATGCGCATCACTTCAACATCGAAAAGGAGGAGCAAAAGAGGGTGGAAAGGACGGCCAAGCAGCGTCTGCAGGCCCTCAAGGCCAACGACGAAGAAGCCTATCTCAAGCTGCTCGACCAGGCCAAGGATACTCGTATTACTCACCTTCTCCGCCAGACCGACGGCTTCCTTCATCAGCTCGCCTCGTCGGTTCGTGCGCAACAGCGCGAGGCCGCCGAGCGTTATGGCGACGATTTGCAAAACATCCCAGAAGAGGAGAGCGATGTGGACGAGGACGAGGAGAGTAGCCGGAAGATCGACTACTATGCCGTTGCGCACAGAATCAAGGAAGAGGTCACAGAACAAGCCAGCATGCTGGTCGGCGGTACTCTCAAGGAGTACCAGCTCAAGGGTCTGCAGTGGATGTTGTCGCTCTACAACAACAACCTCAACGGTATCCTGGCCGACGAAATGGGTCTCGGAAAAACTATTCAGACAATCAGTTTGGTCACATATCTCATCGAGAGAAAGCAGCAGAATGGACCATACCTGGTTATTGTTCCGCTCAGTACGCTCACCAACTGGAACCTCGAATTCGATAAGTGGGCGCCATCCGTCGCCAAGATCGTCTACAAGGGTCCTCCCAACACCCGCAAGCTGCAGCAGGAGAAGATCCGTCGTGGTGAATTCCAGGTCTTGCTTACGACATACGAGTACATCATAAAGGATCGTCCGCTGTTGAGCAAGATCAAGTGGTTCCACATGATCATTGATGAAGGACATCGTATGAAGAACGCTAACTCCAAGCTGAGCGCTACCATTCAGCAGTTCTACAGCACCCGATTCCGCTTGATTCTCACGGGTACTCCCTTGCAAAACAACCTTGCCGAACTGTGGTCCATGCTCAACTTCGTCCTGCCGAACATCTTCAAATCAGCCAAGACCTTTGATGAATGGTTCAACACTCCTTTCGCTAACACGGGTGGGCAAGACAAGATGGAACTCACAGAAGAAGAGCAGATTCTCGTCATTCGTCGTCTACACAAGGTGCTACGGCCATTCTTGTTGCGTCGTCTCAAAAAGGATGTCGAAAAGGATCTGCCGGACAAAACAGAAAAGGTCATCAAGTGCAAGTTCTCAGCCCTGCAGCAACGTCTGTACAAGCAAATGGTTACCCACCAAAAGATTCTTGTCAGCGACGGAAAGGGTGGCAAGACTGGTGCTCGTGGTTTGAGCAACATGATCATGCAGCTCCGCAAGCTCTGCAACCATCCGTTTGTGTTTGACGAAGTCGAAAATCAAATGAACCCGACCAATACCAGCAACGACCTGTTGTGGAGAACGGCCGGTAAGTTTGAGCTTCTGGACCGTGTTCTGCCCAAGTATAAGGCAACGGGCCATCGTGTCCTGATGTTCTTCCAAATGACTGCCATTATGGACATTATGGAGGATTTCCTCAGGTTCCGTGGCATTCAGTACCTCCGGCTTGACGGTACGACCAAGGCCGAGGACCGTTCCGAACTCTTGAGGCTTTTCAACGCCCCTGACTCGCCTTACTTCATGTTCCTTCTGTCCACTCGTGCTGGTGGTTTGGGTCTCAACTTGCAGACTGCCGATACGGTCATCATTTACGACTCGGATTGGAATCCTCATCAGGATTTGCAGGCTCAGGATCGTGCCCATCGTATCGGCCAGAAGAACGAAGTGCGTATTTTGCGTCTCATCAGTTCGGCCTCGGTGGAAGAAAAGATCTTGGAGCGTGCCAGATTCAAGCTCGACATGGACGGAAAGGTCATTCAGGCCGGTCGCTTCGACAACAAGTCCTCCGAAACCGATCGTGATGCCATGCTCAGGACTTTGCTTGAGACCGCAGACATGGCGGAGGTCGGTGAGCAGGAAGAGATGGATGACGAGGAACTCAACATGATCCTGGCCCGTAGCGAGGATGAGTTGGTCACGTTCCAGCAGCTTGACGATGAAAGAGCTCGCGATCCGCTCTACGGTACGGGACCGGGTTGCAAGGCTATTCCTCGCCTCATGGCTGAGAAGGAACTGCCCGATATCTACCTTCAAGATGGCAACCCGATTGAAGAAGAAGAAGCGGTTTCTCTCGGTCGTGGAGCTCGTGAGCGCACAAAGGTCAAGTACGACGACGGCCTCACAGAAGAGCAGTGGCTCATGGCGGTTGACGACGACGACGATTCGCCGGAGGCTGCGGCGGCCCGCAAGGCGGCCCGTAAGGATCGCCGTGAACAAAACAGGCTCAAGAAGATGGCAATCCTCAACAATGCTTCCGGTTCCGTGGATGCCTCACCATCCGTTAGTCGCGCTAGTACCGAGGAAGTGGAAGTTGCTCCGCCGACACCCAAGAAACGCGGTCGCAAGCCTGGCAGCAAGAATCTTGAAAAGCGCCCAAGGGAGGACGGCGATGATGAACCTCCTGCCGCCAAGAAGCGTCGCGGACCCGGTGGCCGGCCAAAGGCGGTATCAAACGGGGATAGCCGCATGTCAGGAGAGATGCGCACCAAGTTGCAGCAGAGCATGAGGAGGATCTTCGATGGATTGATGAACCTCGAAGTGGAGGATGATGAGCCTGCCGAGCAGCCAGATGGCGACAAGGACGAGGATGAAGGCCCACCCACCAGGCTGATCATCGGTCCCTTCGTCAAGCTGCCGCCCAAGCGTGAATGGCCGGATTACTACCTCATGATCACGAACCCGATTTGCATGAAGGACATCGAAAAGAAGATGAAGAAGGAGGACTACCACTCACTTTCGGATATGCGGAAGGACCTGGAGTTGCTGGTGAGGAACTGCAGGACGTTCAACGAGGAGACATCCATGATTTGCATAGATGCAAACAGGATAGAGGTATGTTGTACCCGCCGTTTGTCAGCCAGATAACCGTTCACTAACACGTCATGTAACAGGCTCACTTCAAGGCTCAGTTCGAAAAAGAGCTGAACGATCACCCCGAACTCCGCACTCTCGAGGACCCCTCCTCCTCATCCTTCTCCGTAGGAGCATCCTCGATAAAGGACGGCTCAGTCGCCCCATCCACCATCACCAACTCCACAGAGACTCCTCAACCATCGTCGGCACCTGCAGCGCCAGCCCCAGCACCGACCCAACCAACCAGGATCAAGCTGGTGTCTAGCTCAACGTCTTACAACAACGCTGCTTCCTCGTCCAGCGCAATGACATCAGCCGTGAACAGCATGAGCGTCAGCCAGGTGATGAACGGTACTAGCGCGGCGGACAGCGAAGCCCGTGATGAGTATTAGCGGGCTCGTCAGCGTCAGCGTCAACGTCAGCGTGAGTCGCGGTCCCGTGCGGAGAGCAGTAGTAGTCATTTCGATGATAGCGGTGATGATGATTACCAATCGGAAGAAGAATAAATGGGTGTTCAGTATCGATGGAGGAAGGAGATGAAGCGGCTGATGGGTCGATCAGATAAAATCAGACTACCGGTAGTGGTAAACTACGTGGTAGTGTTTGTATACATAACCTACGATACGAAACTCCCCGTACGGACGTACATATGGCATGGCATGGCATGGCAAGAAAAGAATAAACATAAAGCAGAAGCGAAGACGAAAGGAGAAAGATGAAAGACGTGGTATGACATTCAGGTTTTCGGCTTTTTTTGTTCTTTTCGGTAACAGGATCGGGGATGGATTTACGTATCATGGCATTGACATAGGATACTGATAAAGACGTTATGTTATGCTTATGGTTTTTGACTTGATAGTGTTTATGGAGCTAAATCTTATAACAACACGAACTTCCCGTTCATCTTCTTTCGTTGGCTTCTGAGTAGGGTGTCTGTCTATGACGGATAGGCGAGTTGGTTCGCATGTATAGTTGTCGGTCGGTAGATGTAGAGAAGCAAAAGAACCAAGTCAATGTGTCTCTCACGTTTGTCTATGCTTACTTACTGCGCGGACGGACTCTGTCAGAAGAGATGATGTGACTACCTCTCTGTCGGACTATCTATCTATCTATCATTCGAACGATGAGTTACGCACCTTCGAGTCAGAGATTCGCCGCGTCCCTTCCATCACTATTATTTACAAACACCTTGCGATCACATTCCTAGTTGGGATGGGTGGGTGGGGTTCACGCGGATGCTGCTTCTGTCCGTTCGTCATTGATACCGAGAGCACAGAATGGCTTGTCTGGATGCAGTGTGTGGTTTGGGGTGTACTTGACAACTTTCTGTAACTGATTGATAACCATGGCGGCATTAAGACGCGAGAAAAGTAAAGAAACGAACAGCAAGGAGCCAGCTCATCAGCATATATGTATGTAACGAACAACCAATGTCCTCTTGAATATAGCATTCACAACATATTCAATATCTTCAACACCTCCTTTCTGCCTTCTCATCGACAAACCAGCAGCGCCTTCTTCGCTCAAGACCTACTTACTATCTATCACCCACCACCCATCATCCATCCATCTATAAAGCTATCAAACAATCGAACAAAAAGAAACAGACAACTGAAAAAGGAAAAAGGAAAAAGGAAAAAGGAAAAAGGAAAAAGGAAAAAGGAAAAAGGAAAAAAAAAAACCCCCCCCACACAAGTCAACAACAACCAACAAGAAGAATAACGAAACAGAAAAACCACGAGGAAGGAAAAAAAAAAAAAAAACACAAAAAGAAATGCCTACTACAGGAATCGAACCTGTGATCTTTGCATGTCGAGACAATGACCCACTTTGGTTTTACCCACAGTGGACAAGGTTATACAAGTGCAACGCATTAGCCACTATGCTAAGCAGGCAATTGGTATTTGTTGGTTAACCGTATTTGGTCCTAGACTTATAAAGGGGAAGGGAACCTGACAAGTATCCATCCTGACACAATGGCAAACAACCAACAAACATTGCTAGCAACCTTATGCTTAAATGAATAACAACAACACTGTTCGATAATATAAACAATGTAGTAAACAGCTTCTTCCATACTTTTGCTTTTATTCCCAATACTTCCGTTCGTGCAAGTTGAGCGTATGTACTCTTGCCGTGGGTTGTTGAACTTGCACACATGTAGCCCCATCACTTAGACGGGTTGGGTTGGGGTTGCCTTCCGGGCACATCCATCATCGAACAACATAACATATTCCTTCTCCCGAACGAACCCTGAACCCAAAGCTTCATTCACTTCCTCCCGTCCTTGCCCGTGAAAGAAATCTCCGTCCCATTCCCATCCAGTATTCTCCTTCCAAGTAAAATCCCTACCCAGTTTTTGAAACACCGACTCCTCCTCCTAGGTAGGACCTTCCCCCAACACTCTGCAGCCGACCATCTACCCGTCGTCTAGAATAATCATATCATCCACGTACAATGGAATGGCTGCAGTGCGAAATGCTTCTCGGCGCGCGGGGGTCAAGCCTTATCCTTATGTATTCCTCATCCCGCGCTACTTTTCTGACGCGTTTCTTCAGTCTCACATCCAGACCCTTTTTCCTCTCTCTTGGCCCTTCTCACTTGGCTGGTTTTTGCTTTGCTTCTGGCGGTGTAGAATAGAGAACGCGGAATGTGGCTGAAATGGCTGCAGGACGACTTGCAAGTGTTACAAGTTTACTTAACAAATCAGCAAGTCCGTGAGCTGGGTTTAAACACCACTCACCAGTCAGCACTTAATGGAGGTAGGTACTTAGAACCATACCTACGGCGGCCCGCGTTGAATCCGGCAACTTGATACTATTGTACAGCTCTGCTCAAGGATTTCGGCAAACCGGTAGGAATTCCGTGTGGAGTGTGTGAACAACTTAAAGGAAGCACCACTTCGAATGAATGAAGTAGGTACGCTTGTCACACGTTCGCATCGCTGCCGCTTTTGATAACCATAGCATAAGTATGTGTTTGTATCACGCTAATATTATATCGTACTTTACTTGGGAATTCCTATGCGTTATAACCTAGCTTGTGCTTGTCAAAAATCGCTTCCGCAACAATGATATATATCTCTTCCGGACTTGAACCCTTGAATGTGCCCCGTCCACCCAATTTCCCAACACATGTGGTCTCCAACGCCCGTACGATTATCTCCCAAGGGCACTTCCTTCCTCCCAATGTTGCGTTCACCAGATGTGTCGCTACCAACACAAACACAAGTGTGACCTAGCTTACACACTTCGCACGCACTTCCCAAAAATCGAAGCCCTACAAGGCGAATTAAGGAGGTTCTAGACGAATGATGAACACCAGAATAAAGTGCTATGAATTTGTTCTTGGTAAAAAATGGGGAGGTGGTTTGATTTGCTCGTCTCTCTCTCAAAAAATCCCCACACTCCAGCATAAAAAAGAGGCCGACTAAGGGGCCCTGTGACATTCGAAGAGAAGTAAAAGAGTAACAAAATATGTTAAACAACAACATGGTGGTATAAAAATTCGCAGAGTAGTGGTATATGATGTGCAGCAGCAAACTCCATGACGCCATGAAAATTCGACAAAAACCAAAGGGGCTGATTGGCAAACACCCCGCTGAAACCAAATAAATGTATCGACAAAGTATAGTCGCAAAAAAGAAGAGTTACAAAAGATGAAAGGGGGGTTAAAGTGAGTGATCGTTGTGTTAAAGGGGGGAAGTGACATGCGATAAAGGGGTTCAAGTTCCACAAAGATGACAGCTGCAGCTCTTGGTCCTTTTCCCTCGCTTGCCTTGCCGAAAGAAATCAAATCCTCCTTTGCTTGTGATCGAACAAGACGTGGCCGATATGGAACGAAGGAAGATAAACCAAAAAAATGACCGACCACACCAGGGTCAAACCACGCATAGGCCTCATCTTTGTGCCATAGTTTAGCCCGTGCTGTGACAAGTTTCCTGCCTATGTACACCCACCAGGCGGCAAACACCAAAGAAAAGCAATAAGTGGTGGAAGTGAAAGGGAAAAAAGGGGTAGCGAAGAGAAGAAAAATCTACATAGGCAAGGAAAGAAAATGTTGGTGTTGACAACACGGTGTTTGTGGGTGCCCGAGTTCAGTTCGGCCCACCTCTTCGTCTCCGGCCACGGCTAGGGCCGTCCGGGCGCTGAGCAAGGACTTCGCGCAAAAGGGGGTCGTCTTTGTCCTTATCAGTGTGATGTACTCGTACATGCCTGCAATGTCAGTGTTAGCAATCAGGTCTCACGGGCTCAAAACTACTTGGTTAGAGATGCCTACCTTTGGAGGTTATCAGGACGAGGATATTTGTGCTCTCGGTCAGGGCAGAATGGGCATACATAGCCTGGTGAGTCATGCACCAATCCATGCCTGATCATCTCGTTCTTGCGCTTGAACCCCCTTCCACCTTCGCCTCGAGAACAGCCTGGTACGGGACAGTAATGAGGTCGCGCGGATGAGTGAACATTTGCGTGCGAGTTTAGCAAGTACTGCGTCTGGAACGGCGCGGCGTTGCAGCCCTGGAATTGGCACACATAAGTACCCGTATGGCTGGTTAGGCCATCGATGCTCATTCGGTCGGCTATTGATCCGGGCGATGTTGCGGGGGCATTCATGTGACTGCGCGAATGATCCGGAGCTGAGGGTTCTGAGCTGCTGGCATAATCGTGCGGCCGCTGTATGCCATTCCCTTGAGAGAAGTAGTACGGCGAAACAGGTTCCCGACGGTATGGGTCAGCGGCCGATTGTGGCGGCGATGCATGGTTTGTGTATGACAACAGACTTGTCGGAAAACCTGGAGGAGAGCCGGGATAAGGTTGATGTGGACTCCGCTCGATTATAGGACGGGACAGTTGATTGAGATCCGCCACTCCTAGAGAATCCCTGATGGATGGAAGTGTCTGCTGTGAGTGTGAGGCTCCTTCAAACACTGGGGAGGTCGGTTGGATTGGCGGTAAGCCTTCGGGTAGACTATTGGGTGTTAGGGGGTTCGTAGGTGATGCAATCGAAGGGATGCTTCCGTGCTCTCGAGGTGAAAAGGCGATTCCTCGTGGGCTATAAGGAGTCAGCATTGCAGGCTGGGTTAGCCTTTCTGAATCCTTATCCGCCTCCGCTCGCCTCGCCGCTATGGTTGACTGAACCGTCGTTGGTGGTGCGCTCTCCTTGATGATATCATGCTCGGTGATTGGCGGCGTGGGACCTGCATCTGCCTCTTCCTGCTTGACACTTGGAGCGCTGAGATTTTGAACGACGCCCAAGGCACCGGCTGCTAGAGACTGTAGGCTGTCAAAGCCACCACCGGTATCGACCTCCCTGGAAGGCTCGGCTGACATATTTCGACGTCGAAGGCTTAGGTGGAGGTGTTCAACGTCATCGCGGTCTTCCCCGTTGAAGTGAGGGCTTTGAATGATTTCATTACCATCCATGGAGGAAGCAGTGTCGGGCTCAAGGGAGTCGTCTCTGTCGGTATCGGAATGCTCTGATGGCAAGGCTTGGAGGCCGGCTTGGATCGCAATCTCTGGGCGTCTCCCTCCGTCAAGCATGTGAAGCAAGACGGCATCACCCTGACTCGGTCTTGACTTTATGCGACGATCAGACCTTTTGTTTCTCGGACTGGAAGGAGGACTGACTTTGGGGTAGGGGAACTCGTCCAGCGAGCTCGTTGGTGGCCCAAGCTGGGGGTGGTAGGGCTTCATCAACGGGCTATTCTGGGCTAGTAGTACCTCATCTGGATCGTAGCGATCTCCAGTGGGATCGTAGGCAAGAGTGGAAGCGGCTGTCGTACTCATAATTTCGCGTGTCGTCGGTGCTCTCGCTCGCGGAATGAACGTCTATCAGTTCGCCATCGAAGATCGGGCCGACACGTGAATGTTGTGATCCGTAGACCGTAGGTCGCCCGTCATGCACTGCAGACAAGTTGTCTTCCACCTCCGTATAGTTCGCCCCGGTTGTCCTTTAGTCCCCGTCAACAAAGCCCTTCCCGAGGGCTCTCAACAGCGGTCCTGGTAAAGTCGTAGTCGAAGTATCGAAGGTAGCGAGTTCGCGCGCAGCTGTGACCATGCGCTGGCGAACGGCAGCGTAGGGCGGCGGGCATGTAAGAGCCGCAAGAAGCAGCCCAGGGTATGTGGTGTGTGTGTGGTAAGGAGTTTAGCGGGGAGAGGGCCCAGGTCGAAGTCGCAAAGCAGATCGGAAAGGGCGTGTGAACGCGACGCTGGGGGGATCAGGCAAGCGGGAGCAGCCTCGTGACTGATTTGATTGAGCGGGGGTTGTAAATTGCAAGCCCGAGCCAGATGGGACAAGCAGATGGGACAGTGAAGCGGAGGGGGGCTGGGCGTCTGGGGAAGCTGAACGCGCGGAATGCGGCTCAAGGCCCTGACAGCGACGGCTGGTGGATATCCGGGAGATTTGAAGCAGCAGCCAGAGCGATGGATGGCAGACACGATGGGGACACAAGGGTACCTCGTAATCCGTATTCGGTGGTTACCTTGGCTACCAACCAGGAGTCGTCCAGTCCAAGGAACTTGTACAAGTAGGTAGATGAGGCCACCGAGTCTTTTTTTGGTCCGGAAATTCCCACACCGTTGCTTCCGTCCCGTCTCTTTGGTGGTCTTGACAGGAATGGTTGAATGTCGTGGGCCGAAACCTGAAGAGGCACAGAAGGTAGCAAGGCAGTGGAGAGGATCCAAGATTGGGGTGGATGGGATGGGGGATCGTTAACGGTTTAAGCCGCAAGGCAGTGACAGCCACCAACCTGGACGGAGGAAGAAGGTTGCAAGGGTGTAATGAAGAGGGCCAGCCCGGGGAAATCAGATTTCAGAGCGGGATCCCAGTTGCAAGGTGCAGCTGCCCACTCACCACTGGCCGATGCCCAGTTGGAGAGTTGCGTGAGTGCGACCAG